TGTACATAGACACTATGGACAGTAAGGTGAATTGCAAGGAACATGTTCTTAAGGTTAACAACCATGAGCTTGTTGATAATGGACATACTAGCTACTTCTCTAAAATGCCCCCTGCAACAGCAGAACAACTGACAATCGCAAAAGTTTTATCTAGGCCAGATAACGATGTAAATATCCGGTGCTACGTTGTTCAGGTATGTTGCTTCTACAAACAGACTAGAGGTTTCAGCTTCAAGAGTTAACTGAGTGTACAGAAGACCAAGCAGTCACTGCATTGTATGACTGCGAAAACAATATTGAGAGAGCAGTTGAGCTAGTTCTAGATCAGTTCCGCTGTGGTGCGACAGAAGAGTGGCACACAACTGTCAGCAAGCGTGGCAAGACGAGGCACTCCCAGTCGGTAGGTACTTAGATCTTATTAAGGAATCCTGTAGGCACCAGAACCCGGGCCAGATATGACAGCACCTCAGAAAAAAGCTCCCAAACCGAAACTAGAAAAACATGTTGAAAATCAAGATAAATTCTCAGGACAAAACGTTTCGGTTTCACCTCCAGTTAACGTCACCAAAGTACCTCGAATAACTTTGTAATTTTTTTTTAGAATTCAAACTCTCACCCCGAAAAGTTCAAGAAACCAGGCACAAAGAAAAAAAATCCACATAGAACAGATGCAGTCGCTAGTGACCGCGCCTTCATTCCACCACAAAGTCGTAGTGATGATGTGCTGTGTAACAGTTCGAAGCAGTTACCAGAAAGAAAAAGTAGAGTTGAGTCTGAGGGTATGTTCGATTAATTGTTCAACTTGCATTTAGCATGGGATCCGTACGCTGACTGTGGCGAGTGGGAAGGGGATTCAATCGAAATAGTTAATTCAAATGCATCCATTGCCATGGGTCTGCAGGAAGCAGTATCCTTACCACCAGAACTTTTCCATGACAGTCCAAGCTGTTCGGAAAAGTAAGTCTCACCTCGATTATTATTTTTGAGTTTTTAGAAACTTAAACGCGGATTACAATTCGCACGTTGATGATGTTCAAAACCTAACTAAAGATCCAGATGCTTTGGACGCAGAAGCATTGTTTGCGTCATTTGCCAAAAGTAAACCACCTCCTCGCGCGTTTACTGGGAAGCTAGAGACATCATTATTTTTTGCCCCGGAATTGTTGCCTAGTGAGCAATTTAACTGGAAACCGACTTTCGGTGGTGAGTGTCCTGGTTCACAGTTTAATACCAATACAACTGCAATTCTGAGTCCTGGACAGATTAGCAATAATACAGACGAACCACTTCGGTCACAAAATGACTCTCGAAATGTCCAAACATCCACGGACCGACCTGATTGCAGTCCGAAGCAGTTTTCGTTCCCACAAATATCCCAACAATCACATTCCAGCGATTTTGAACTTAAGAACGCGTCATTAGGCGTTCTCTTAGATCCTCCACCTAAAACAGAGGAAAAGATAAGCAGTGTTCCCACTGACTATCCATCGCGACACTACGATGAACAAATGGTTTCCAAAGTAGCACTTTCATATCCGATAAATCATAATAAACAGACACCCTCCATGGTTGCCAGAACTACCAGTGATAAACCCAGCTATTTGGAGCCAAATATTAAGAACTATCTTTTGGATGGTCTGCCGGATAACATGAACAAAATGAACGTTGGAGAGGTCACTGGACAAAGCACAAAAGATCAGTTTTTAATTCAGAATAATGCACAATCATCTCTAGCCCCCTTTTCTCATGGTCAAAATGAGCAGCACATGATTCCTCACTTGAATAAAATACCCGCCTCGCATGCTAGCACCCACGTATCTGGGCACACACAACAAGTTAACAATTCTCAGGCGACTCATCTTCCTCCAGGTATGCCGCACTTCATCAGTCAGTTTGCTCCACCTGCTTATCACATGTTCAATTTACCAGGCGGTTCTAGTACAACTCCTGCTATTTTCGATCTTGATCATTTGCAGCTCTTGCAACAACAGAGGATGCTTTATGATATGCACTTACAGCACCAGGCTGCCACTACCGCTCAAAGTCTTCTTACAGCGAATGCAGATTCCTCAGCATCAGCAAAACCCGTCAGTCACAATTTATCAAATCCGATGGGTCATGTTACTGCTCCAAACACAGGAATGCGACCGGACATGCTGACAACTGCACTTGGGCACACTCCACAGATGATGACACCTGGACACCCTTACTTTCCTTATCCCGGTTTTGTCCTCATGGTAAGTTCAGTATTAACTTTATTCAGTTCATAATTGTTCAAACTACCATGCAATTGCTTCATAGAAGTCAGTCTATTGCAAATATTTTGTGCTCTATAAGCATTTCATAAACGCTTTCCCTTGGTGAAGCTGAGGGAGTGTTTTAGACCCAGATTTATAGTACGGTGTCATTTTTGTGTTCCACTTCGTTTTCCTCCAAAACACTACACACCCAGATGTTTATCTCTGCACTGGGTGGGTTATTGTTTTTACTACTTTTTTTCTTCTCCGTGACAGATTTTACCTTCCGTGTTTGAAAGATTTTATTTATTTGAACACATGCCGGTACAAGGGGGCACCAAATACATATGCGCCACAATAATCTCATTTGATTTATGTGAAAGCTGTGATACTGCCCGTGTGCCCAATCCGAAGCAGGTAGTTTTTTAAGGGGCCACACCCGGAGCCTTTGATCTAAAGGTCTGATCCACATGGCAGTGGAGCATTATAAGGAGATGCAGTCCCATGGTGGTCGGTAACCAACGATTGATTCATACGCCACTTGTTCCTTCAAAATCCTGGAGCTCATGTGCAGTCAGGATTATCCAACTCTCCTAGGTGGATTCTCCATGACCGTCAACCCGGTCAAACTGTCGGACATTCGCCTTCCGTCCTCTCAATTTCGTAAACAACACCCCCGCCACGAAAAGGCAGTGAGTAAGACTTCCCCGGCAGAGGCTATATACTCGTGGTCATGTGAGAGCATTTCGAGAGGGAGAGCGGACTCTCCCCACCCTCGGCCGTACCAGGGCATTTGAGGGCATCTGAAAAACCACATAAATATTTATCTGACAGCAATAAGATGATTCCAGTTGTCCCCAATTGAATCATTTGGATAATCGGGGTCCAAATGTCTGGTTTTAGGTCTAGGGTTCTTAGTGATTTTTGACCAAATAACTATTGTTCTTGTTAATCATAGGCAGTAAAAGTAGGCCCTGACTCGCGTGTTCATCGGTTGAGTTTGCCACATCAAAATCGCCTAACAAGCGAAAAAATGATGAGAGGAATACTGTTAACTGCGACAGGAGTGTAAACGGAAAAAACCGCATTTCAGGATGAATAAATAGTATCGAAACAAAAAGGTATGAAATGACAACCTAAGGCTAAAAAAGGATAATAATTGCAACTGCCTCAGAGCAATCGACTTTAAGCCATATTTACTCACGTTTCCAGGTATGGGTTACTACCATCCTGTGAATTTATCAAAACGGATCCAACGCATAATAACAGCTAGTGACTTTACATATATTGTGTCTATTAAACATCTTTTCAGTCTGCTGTACCAGCTGTGTTGTACGTCAGAGCAGATGTTTGTTAGTCATGCGTTACGCGCTCCGTAGGCATCTAATTCATAGGATCACCCAGAAGACCTACTTGCCATTACTCCCTGATAAAATGTGACCAAAACATCGCCCACTCGGTGATCCTCTAATTTACGAGAAGGGTTTCTGAAAAATCCGTGATCGAATACTTACTACCTACACATTTCTTGTGTTTCCGTTGACCGTACTTTACAGCTTCGGAACAATACAGAGTAGGCTACTGTAAACTACAATGACAGGTGTACATGTATTCCGGCTAAATTATCTTCATCGACTGGCCAGTTAGAACTAAAGTAATTTTCAAGATAAGTGAACTGGTAGACTGCTTCTTTCGGTTATCCAGCTGGGTAGTTGTATAAACCAGTCCTAAGTCTTAAACCCATCTCTACTTATTATCAATGATGTTTAAGAGGCTACGTCATGTCAGCATCTCCACTAAACAGATTTGGATTTTGCAAATATTTTGCTAGATTGATCCCTAAAATGTCAGGTAAAGAAAGTGGAGAGCCCTATCGACCGTCAATTGGGATGGCCAATTCAGATGACAGGTTGCCATATGCTCTTGATCAGTAGAATTCGAAACGTTGATATACTTTTTATGCCTTTAAATGACAGCGACTACCATAAATCATGTTGATCAGAAAAGGCAAATGAAGTTTTAATGTTAAGAGCGTCGGTTTGCTTACACCCATAAACTTGACTTGGAGTGGATATTTAGTCAGCTCACTCATGTCTAAAACCAGTTTAGTTTTACCGTGGGTCACTGTCCACAGCCTCCAGTTTAGCATTAGGCTGTTTCCGAAGCTAAGGTTTCGAATACAATATTGATAAGATTGATTTCTCTGTAGCTTTCATAAGAGGACTTTTGTCGTTCCTGTAAACAATCAGTACTCTTGAAAAAGTTATTTCACGAGTCTAGGTCTTCTCGAGTCATATCTGTCTTTTCTAATAACATTGACACTGCTACTAGTACTACTCTGGCACCTCGTCCTGACGTGTGGTAACTCAAAGCCACACACATGTGCCAAGTTGTACGTTGAGTTTGGTTGACTGAGTGTTCGCGACTAACCTGATAGAATTACCTACAGCTACCAGGTTACTAGTACAGTACCTCAATCAATGTAACTGTTGGCACTAAACGTCCATCCATAAAGGAGTTTGTAACTAATCCACCAAGGTTAGGTCTCACTGTTGAGAGTCTAATATCAACCTCACCACAGCCCTTGATGAAAATGGGTAGCTGGAAAGTACCTGTCCCTCAAAACATCCTGTCTTTCCGGTAGTTTGGTTTGAAAACATGTTTTTCAAACATAGTTCTACTGATAGATAACTTTAATTAAAGTTTTTAATGCTTCTACATAGTTGTGTAGGGTCACCTATTCTCATTACGTTCTCTGTTACCCGCTTCAATTTTCTTGGGAGTCTCGGCGGTCTTGAAGGTCTGGTGTTTGACGGAATTCGCTATGCTCTCATTTTCAGTTTTCTGTGTAATGAATCGGCATCTTCATCCACCTCAACCAAACTAGGTGCATAATTATGTAGGAGTGCACCAGAAGAAAACTAGAGGCGGACGAACCAAAACATGACATCAATCCAGTTCATAAAGTCATTGAGGATTAGACTTGTCCATGTTAACAGGTATCGACTACGTGGTTGGTGTCCACGTGATTGTCGTACCAATGGCTAGAGACTTTGAATGACATGGCTCAAAATCGTTCACAGTGGTCCAGGTGATCCGTTTGTTGTCTTCCCCCAAATTATGAGATTCTAAATTCATAATTTTTATTGCTATTGTTTTACTAATTTATATTTTCTCGAATCGTATTTTTAATGCCTATTTTATTTCTGCTGTTACTGTTACTACATCTACTATCCTGGGGTTTGATCTGAAAATTTCGTCCCACTGTTCTAATGAGGTCTGACAACTTTAAACGATGTACATACGTACCATGTTTAACGTCGTGACTGACTGCTGTTCAACAGCGTCAGCAGCGAATATGAGAATCGGTTTGATTATGTATTCTTTTGCATCTCATTTCCACGGTGTGTTCGAATCAAACGCGATTATGAACTACTATGGTACATACTTTTTCAACCTGTTTGGTAGGAATATCGCGTCCGTTTGCTTGCGAATAGACCTAGTCGCTCTTTCGAATCTCTAGATTCCAGGATAATTAAATATAACCTAAAAACGTTCTCATCATTTTTGACATATTCACTGTATTATTACTATCTGTTGTTCAGAATGGTTATCCAAATCCATTTTTAAACCAACAACAACCAAATTCAGACAATCCCCAAGTTCAGAATCCTGGTCAGTGTGCATCACCAATTACCCAGCACCAATCCCAGCTAAACCAAGCTCAATCTTATAATAATCTCAAACAACTGGGCAATGGAGTTGGAAACTATGAAGATTTGTTAGATGTCAAGTATGGTGACCCATCCAAACAAGGTTTGTGTCATAAAACTAATTTTTAATTAAATGAGTTTGCTGTTTTGCGAGTTCCAATTACTTTCGTTATAAGCAATAGTCGACTGTATTGGTTAAAGGAATGCTATTTTATCAGTATACTTGATGAGCATAGTATAGTGGTATGTAAAAGTCGACTTTACTTTTTTTGTTTATGTACCACGCAGGCATAGTTTCGACCAGTTTAAACCACAAGTCAATTTAAACCTCTTTATTAATCGTCCTTAGCCGAAATAGAGCCTGGGAAAAATACTTGTCAGTTCGAGTTGATCGAGTTGCATACCAAATTAGCTAGAGAATATCAAATTATCCAAAATGATTGTAGTAGTACTAATAATGAAAAAAAAACTTAACACTGAGAACATAGTTTAAAAGAAGTAGTGGAAAGGTATGTATGAAGGTTAACTGGGACGTAGAGGGAAGTTTATTAAATGCTCTTCCAGCATCATGACCAGTTCTGCACCATACCACCTAACTTTTCCAACCACTAGTCAGTTATCGTTCCCTAAACAACTAGTAAATAACCATTATTATTTTTCTGTTTCGGTTAAGAGTGATCCTTTATTTTATCTCTAAAATGATGCTAAGAGCAGACTAAATTTCCGATCTCATGAGTTTACCTTTACTATAATTAAACAACTGAAACTACATATTTGTCACCTACTGTCACTTTAGTAATCCTTATAGTGATATTATAGAGCTAACGTATTCAATGTCATTCTATGGTAGGATGTTCATAATAAATCCATTGATTTGTAATTTACAACCTATGTATGTATATTAAACGATTTTCATGTTTTTGTATTCTAGTTGGTTTCAAAACCAGCTCAAACCCACCCAACTATAGTTCATTTCAATCTCAAGGAATGTCGTTAGATTCTGTCGGTGGAAAGTTATCTTCTGCCTCTCATTCCAACAACGGATCTCTGGTTCAGAACTTTAACCATGGAAATAGCAATTCTCATGCACAGCACTTTTCACCACAATTTTACGCATCTGTGTCGGGTTCGCCATACATGAACACAGTTGCTGCCGCTGTAGCTGCAGCAGCTGCTGCTAAACATGCACCCAATAACAGCTCTACTGTCAGTACAAATCAATCTAATCCAAATATCGGTGTTGCTACCAACCAATCTGGCGCTGTTACTGGGCAAAACCAAATACATTTACCTGGGAACCCGTCTCAAGGAATGGTCTTGGGTAATGCAGGTCAAAGTTTACATCACCAACGTGCTCCAATTCCACACGCACAACACTGATTTAAATGAATTACTGATAAAGTTATTATATTGAGCTAGTTGTTGTCTGTCACTGCTTTGGCTAACCTTAAAACAAAGTTGTCCATAGAGTGGTTTTCTACTCGATTTCACTTAGGCGGTCGAGACATTTGCCTTTTAGATTTTTGGCATGTGTAAATATATACAAACGTCCTACCAAGATTATTACATTGAGACATGTTTTCTTCCCAATTTATGTTTCTGCGAAATGCTTGCATTAGGTTTCCACTTTAACTTCTTTTTCTTACCGATGTTCACATCCTCATACTTTGCATATCTCTCATGAGCTTTCGTTTTTGTATCCATTATACTCGTTCAGCTTGATCCTAACAAATCTAAAGCGCTGATCTAAAATAAATTTATTTGACGTATCTCTTGGTTTTCTATTAGATTTTTAGTCACATTGCTGATTGTCGTTATTGGTTTTCAGGGGACTGCATAATGGCAAAATCTGTTTGCCTAAAAAATCCACATGAATGGCATCCTTATGTTTATCAATATGGGTATTATGATCCAGTAACAGTTGGTAGTATTGATGGTACAGATACGACTCCACATGATAGAGCAATTCAACGCGCCTTAACGTCATCCTATAGGAGTAAAGACCACGTTTTTAACTGGGATCCAAAGGTACACATCAATGTTTGACTTTGTAATTGAAATCGTTGCTTACACTAGTTTATTTCCTCAAGGTCGAACAATATCGAGTAACAGATACTTCTGTTTTTTCACAACACACTTCATGTTAGGGATTGATTATCTCTAAAAGTTCTGGTAATGTGTTGTTTCCATTTACTAGTAACTTGTGGGTCTTACGGGAACTTGATGTAATAGATCTGGTCAATGTGACTGGTAATTTGGATTTACGATATAAAAGGCTGGTATGTTGTACATCCGGGTGTTTACTGATAATAAAGGGAGATACCACAGCCAGGACTTCCTACTGATAGCTTGTAATCATCTAGTGCAATTGATTACAGTGGTTCTGTGTACGGTCAGTTCGGCTAATCGCTTTCGCAGCTTATGAAACGGTCATTGGGATCTGTCAGTTTACCGACTTACATATCTTCGCGATTCGGTTGTCACTCAAATTTCGGAATTAATCAAATTGATGAAGTGAATTGTGTGTTCAACGATGATGTTTCACTCAAAATTGGACGTGACATTACACGAGGTGTAGTTGGGATATGGATCACCATATTTTGCGATAAGATGTGGAATCTTTTCCATTCAAAACACCAAATACTATTTGTTTACATTGATGAATTTGGGAAACTGGACTACTTGTAAAAGGTTTGGTATTATACACACAGTCATGTATTCGTTATGCGCAGCTCTTATTTGTGGCTCAGGAAGCTAACGGGACTATTCCGTATTCAGATTTCTCTAGTCTAAATCACGATTTGTAAAGTCATTCATACCCACTCTTACAATACGTCGTGTTTATTCAAAACGTAATTGCTAGTGGGAATTGGTATAGTTTCGTGGGTGCACACTGCTGAGGAGTCCCATAATAGGGCGGAACGGCCGTCCAGTGCTTCCAGGTTTTCCATGGTGGCCTAGCTTCGATTGACTCTTGAATTCGACTATTCTATTGTATATCTTTAATTTCCACTTATTGGAAGTACTCGTTTGGCTCTGTAATGTTGTGACTGGTCGTTAGGGACTCAAGTATTTTTGAGTGAATAGTTTATTCACATAGACTAGTTGAGTTGTCGAGTTAGCGTTATTGGCGTACTCGGACAATACAACGCCTATTTATGGTTAGTAAGTTGTAGTAACGGTATATAGAATATTCTCAATCATAAACCAAAATTCACCACGGATTATAGATCTTATAGATCTCTATTACGAGTGTTTCCTCATTTGAGTTGCTGGGTTTCGTTATTTGGTGCCTATTTTGTATCGACCTATTTTTTTATCTGTTCAGATTGTTATACTGAGGAAGGAATAATAATTGTTTGCTAAACCAAACGTATGAATGTTATTGTTGCCGTAATCATTACTGTTTACATCTAACCTCTTCTTTTTTATTGTTAATACTGAGGCTACAATATTTGTAGGAAGGCTACCCTATCATACTTCAAAAATTTGTTTACAAAAAGCACTGCATGAACTGTTGAATAAACACTTAGGAAATGATTTAAATAGTAAATCTAGAAAATACTGTCGTAGTCGTTCCCCATTTTCATGCGATGAAATTTGGCCAAAAATTCATCTTGTTCACAACATTGTTACTGGCTATCCATGTGGCTATGCATTTGCATATTTTTCATCGGAATCAGATGCCGAACGTGTACTGCGTGCTTGGCGTAATCAAACTACTGTTTCAACGAAATTATACTGTGGACTAAAAGATGAACGACACTGTGGTTTAGATATACCTAATGGTGATAAGGTTCGTTTCGATATAGTTTTATAGTGTTAATATAATGTATAATGTCACTGCTAATTCATTTTAATTTAAATGGAACTAAACAGTGGAGCACAGATTGTTGTAATTGAATTTGGAAAAAACTTCGTGTATTTAAGGCTAGTGTCACTATTCAACTCATAATCCTGTGATTGAAAATCCATTTCTATAGCTACTACGTCAACCAATCTAATTTGGTGATTACTGAAGTGGAGGTTATCTTATGTTACGATATGACAAATGTTACTGTTCGTGAATAATTTCCTGTAGTAGCTCACTTATTATATCATTCAGCCTTCTTAAATTTTATAATAGGAATTGAAGAGGGAGATTGTTTATGAATACATTGATCTTGATTGACGTTAGAGGTATGAGGGCGGTTTGCATTTCCCGGTTGCTCACACCGTGAAAGGGTCTTTCTAGAGGTACTTGAAAAGGAAATTGGGTTAGAGGTGGTCTTGGTAACCTGAGAGCGTGACCGCAGTGCCCAAGGGACAACTGCTTGAGGTCGGTCACGTACGACGTTTTTGTGAGTAATTTTTGTGTTAGCTCCGTACTTGTTGAGACCTTACCGCCGGAGACGGATATCCGTGGGATAAGGCGTGGTGTGCATTTTCAGGGTTGACCTTTTCTAACCACGACCCTCCTTGTGGGTAGGCAATATCGCTGTCATGCTGTTTGTCTGAAGGGAACACCTTACTGTCGTCACACCTCTGTATAGTCAGCAGTACGACTTCGCCTTCGGACCTTGGACCTGCTGCTTTTAGTCTTATCGCTCTTCAACTGACTAATCTGTCATGGTAGGACCTTGAGGAACGATTGTTCCAGCCAGTATAGTTCGATTGGTCCATCACGATAGACAAACCCGACCATCACTTCAAGGTAGCAGCAACGGTTGGGGTATGGCAACTTGGACCGATGCACATATGTGCCTTGTCCTACGTTGTAGCTGACTGACTGACTGAATAGTAATAATAAATAATGCGGATGTGGAATTGTGCATCATTGGTTTGAAATCATGATTTTGCAACTCCACTAGGTGGACCCCCCGCGAGGAGCTTGATAAAAGGACGGAATATGTACCCAGTGATTCTTGCTTTTCAATGGCTTTCTAACCCAGGTCAATGTAAACTACAAACTTGAAATAGTTGTCATCCTTCATCAAGTTTTTGTGTAACTGAAAACATGGAAAACTCATAATTATGTGAACTTATTTATACAATCTAAGTCAGTCAATCGTCTACAATGTAGGACCGGGCACATATGTGCATCGGTCCAAGTTGCCATACCTCATTAGCACAACAAGATCAACACAAAATTCATAGAAGTTACTTCAGTGGTAGTAATATATAAACGAAAGATTGCATATAAGGATATAATACAGGGAAAAAGAATTAGTTCGTAGAAAGAAAGATATGAAGCGACTTTAACCTCACGGTTTAAGGGAAAACAGAGAGTGTAAACACTAACGTTATTGTGATCGATTCTGAGCTATATCACTTAGTCTCCAACCATTGGTTACGACAGTCGCATGGATCCCAACCAAGTAGTCTGCATCTACCAACATGACTTAGACTAGACGTCAGTCACTTCAAGCACTGATGCCACGTTTTGGTTTGGCCGCCCCTAACTTTCTTACAACCATCCTCAACACTAATCAGCATTGTGCGTCGTGGTAATCGGTGTTCAGGCATACGCAACACATGGCCCAACCATCTCAGTCGATGAAGATTCACCACCTCATCAACTGATTTATTATCATTCCGTAATACCCTCCATCTAACCTCACTGTTACTTACCTGGTGATCCTAGCAGATGCTGGCAATATTTCTAAGGCATCTGTGGTCAAATATAAGTAACCTACGAGTAGTATTATTACTATTAAAACAATTGCATCCCTGCTTCGAGTTAATCAATTATTAAAAAGTATAAACATCTGTTGCTTTTTAATTTTCCCTGTTGGAATATTCATGGTCAGCTATCTTTTTTAATCAATTTATTTATTTATTTGAACACAGATATTGGTAAAAAGGGGCACTGAATACATATGCACCACACAAGTCACTTGATTTGTATGTGGGCTGTGGTACTATCCGGGTGCCCAGACTAAAGCAGGTGGTTCCCTTAGGAGGCTACAACAGGAACCTTCAACCTAAAGGTCTGATCCACAAGACAGTGGAGCAACGTCGGAAGACGTAGTCCCATGGTAGCCGTTGACCAATAATTGGTTTATACGCTATTTGTTCCTTTACGATTCTGGAGCCCTTGTGCATCATTGGAATTTCGAGTGGGAGAGCTGACTCTCCCCACCAGGGCATTTGGGGGCTTTTTTAAACAAATTATTTTATCCTTTTAGCAATATAGTTTTGTCAAGATTTCTTGTTTTTTTAATGTAATTTGATTTAGAGTACTATTGAATTATCCGAATTTCTAGTAGATGGTCTTTACTTTTGAAGTTAGTCAAGTTAAAAAAAATTTTCATTTAATTGGGGGTTTGTTCTCTGAACTGGATGGTTTGGTTGTGAACCTTCCATTGTTCTTCTGAACAACGAATATGTCATTATCATAAAGGTCGAGCTGGAAGACGCCTACACTCTTGACAAAAACGTCTTTGATGATATGAAATTCACAATGGAAAAGGAGTCGAATAACAAGCCATCATTCTTGGATGTATTAATCACTAGAGCCGATACAAGAAAACTGGAGATACCTGGATTATCGGAAGCCGACCCACACAGATCAAATTCTCATTTACAACAATAACAACCCAATAACTAAAAAATCAACTGCGTAAAAATTTTATTCAGGAGGGTGAAAACACACTGCTGCACACTTGCACTGCGTAAAAACGAAGGAAAATATCCAATGACTAACCTTCAAAAGAACGGCTACCCAATTAACTTAAAAAAATATCAACCAGACTCACCAACAGAGACAAAATCGAGTACAGAAGCCGACAAATGGATCATCCTACCATATATAAATGACATCGGAAATCACAACGAGGTTATTGAAGCTGTTTGGAATAGGTGTAGCACACAAACCAACAAAATCACTTCAATCTATCCTATGCAAACCGAAAGACGAAATGACAAAAGAAGAAAAACCGAACATCATCTACAAAATAAATTGTTCCAACTGCGAAAAACACTACGTCGGACAAAGCGGATGACTCCTTTATCTCCTCCCACGAACATCAATTAGTAGTTAAAAGTCGTGACATATTCTCGCTTATATCAATTCATGTGTACATACATTCGACTGGAAAATTGTTGAGATCATAGAGACGGGGAATACTAAGAACATCAGAGAGTTTTTAGAAGCTTGGCACTCAGGTCAATCAACAAACATATTGAAATCGTTCCAATTTATCAACCAATCAGAAAAATTATGTACAAATATGGAGCCAAGAATCAGATCAAAAGGAGATACAATCCCAATAAAAAAGTAAACAATGATAGGTCAAAGATCAATAATAACGAATGAAGATCGGGGTCTACAGGACAAGCTGTGAACCATATTTGGAGAAATTCGAACACTTCACTTCTATCTGAAGTTCGTGCTGATGATGTCGTTCAGAAGAACGATGAAAGCACCACGATTAAACCATCCAGCTCAGAGAACAAAACTCAACACATATCATCCACCTTAGCTACAAATCGCCCCCACCATCACTCCATATTTCATATAAATCGAGTTTTAAAATGTGAATTCAGGGATTTCAGTGAAGTGATCTAAGAAAATCGTGACTTCCGTAAAACTTCAATCATAGGATGGTTAATCATATTTTGTCCCTTAGAAGGATCTAACAACGTGAAGCATGGTGTTAAAAGAAACTCTATGGGTTACAGTAGTTCCTTACCTCTATAATATTTTCGTTCAGATTTTGATATTGTCCACTCATTACGTTTCCCTGTTTTTGTTTTATTGCTAAATCTCAGGTAATTTTAGAACCGTATTTTGGTGGTACACTGCCTGGTTGGCGACCACGTCGTCTTGGTGGTGGATTAGGTGGTCGTAAAGAAGCTGGGCAGTTACGATTTGGCGGAATCGCTCGGCCTTTTAGACGTCCGTTTACTGCAAATAATGCATCTTTGACAGAAAAGAAGTCAAAGTTTTGCAGAGATTAAGCTTTATTCACTTAAAAAATTATAATTGATTTACACATATGGTCATCGAAGTATTGATATGAATATCTAAGTGTTTTCATTTGTATTTCTTGGTTGTTATTTTTTCTTTAATAATTTTCTTACATTCTTAACATGGTTTTCGAATTCCAGGGAACCTGTAACTGGTATTACATGCAAGGGTCTTATTGATAGAATAGTGAATGACTTACAAAATTGATTTTCTTCAACCTCCTACTACAAATCGTATTCATTTTTCTGTTAATATTCTGTATATAGGCATATTATTTTAAAACGAAATTCATTCTATTAGGCAACTGCATTGTTTTCGTATATCAGTCCAACAGAGGGCTCACGTCAATAATTCATTCTTGTAAGTAGCTATCATCCGAACGAATCATATCGTTGAATATTAGCATTTGTTCAGTGCATTCCACTCATTAACCAGACAATCACCAAACATATTTTGACCTGTACTGACAATCATCATGTGCTCATTAGTGACTAGCTTCAAGAGGTAATTCAGGAAGTTCTAGTGAGAAGCCGTGACCAGTAGGGCTCAACCGTATCCGGTGTGAGGCAGTTATCCGCTGAACATAATAGAAGATGGTCGCCCAATATTGTGGATTGGTTGGAGTTAGACATTAACCCCGTTGGATACAGTTCAGTGATCTAGAGGTTAAGGGATAGCGCATGTGATCGGAGAATCTTGCTTTTCTCTTTGTGTATATTGAAGCCTACTGCTGCTGAGGCTGCTGCTACACTGGTCGTCTTCTCCTGCATTTGTTGTTGCGTTTGGGATAGAAGAGCCAGATCATCTGCGAAGACTAGATCGTCTAACTGCATCCTAGATGTCCATTGTATCCCGTGTTTCCATTCAGACGTTGACGTCTTCACGATCCAGTCGGTCACCCGGAGAAAGAGAAAGGGTGAGAGTAAGCAACCTTGCCTGACACCGGTCTTTATTTCGAACGACTTTGTCAACTGTCCTCCATGCACTATTTAGCAGTTTAATCCCTCAGGAATTCTGTATGATATTGACTATCCTCTGAGGCACGCCGTAGTATCGAAGAAGCTTCCATAGTGTTGTTCTATCCACGCTATCAAATGCCTTTTCGTAGTCAATGAAGTTGATGTAGAGTGATGAATTTCATTCAATTGACTATTCCACAATGATCCGTAGAGTTGCGATTTGGTCTGTACACGATCTATCCTGTCTGTTAGTCTCAAAGTTGAGCGTCCACGGAGTCCATCCTGTTTAACAATACCCTGTTGAAGACATTTCCTGGTATTGAGAGAAGAGTGATTCCTCTGTAGTTATCATACTTGCTGAGATCGCGTTTCTTTGGTATTTTGACCAGAAGTCCTTCTTTCCAGTTTGTTGGTACTGGTTCCTCACCCCAAATCTTATGGAAGGGAACATGGAGTATCCTTGCAGTTGCCGCTACGTCTGCTTTCAATGCATCTGCTTGAATGTTGTCTGGTCCTGCTGCTCTGTACAAATTAGAGTATATTAATTTAGAAATAATTTGTAATATAGAAACTGTAGGTTAGTTTATTGATTTACACTAAACACAATGCCATTTTATTAGGCTTAAACAAACCCTATTTGGTAATATCTAGCTACGAAAATTATTTAATGGGATTCTCGATTAAGACGTTGCATCGGTCTATAAAGTCATTGACTGTTTGAGGACAAACCACAAAATCTTCACAATCAATATTATCTAGGCCAAAGGAAACGACAACAAATGAAGATAAGACGTCATCTACAGAATAAACTATAACGACCGGGTAGAACATTACATAGAATAAAATGGACACCATCCACGCCTATGTGGAACATCATCTATCTGTTAAACTCCATGGCGTAGCTTCACTTATTCCGATGCTTGTGAACAACTGTGGGCATGTGTTCGATTGAGAAAGCATCGAAATATTGGACGGGGAACCAAATAAATTTTAGGAACTCAGCACCTCGAACACATCGAAATCAATCCAATCTGTCAATCAATAAGGGAAAAGCTTAACAATGAGGGCAGAGTTCAGGTGAAGAGTGATAATTATTAAAAGAACACATGAACAACAACTGACCAAACTTTAGGTCAACAAACGAGCTGTTAGTTGATTATGGGAAGATTTTAATAAGCCAATTTTCTTTATGGCATGTGCCGATGATTTTGTCTGAACAGATTACAAAAACTTCGAAATCAAACCATTCATCTCAGATAATATGTCACCTCAGAAAAAATTGTGCCAGTCAGTATTTGAATAGAACTCTTATTGCGTTCAATAACAATTAAACCTTAAAAAATCCCATACTGAATAAATGAAAAATATCTACATTTAAGGCAAGTAGAGCCTTTAGAATTATTTCATATAAATCTAGAATTGTTATTGTCAAAATGACTTATGTCATTCAAAATTGAATAAGTGGAGATTTTAAAAGTAAAATAACCTCATTCGATTTTCCGCTAACAGAAAAAGCTGATGGAGCATTAGGAAAGGATTTGAACAGCAGTTACTTGAACACCAGTGTATACGTATTACCTAACAGACGGATTGCTTAGATTAGCTCCTTTTGTATCTATCGATTCCACTGCTCCTGTGGAGTAATTTACGTTACCAAGTTTTCTAAGAATTTACACTCGTGTCCTTGAACATCCTTCAGGATGGCTAACCAAATGTATAGTTAAAACTATAAACAGCTCATATTCAATCCATTTGGTTCAGTTAAGTCATAAACCCAGCATAAGTAGTTTTCTATAGTATGTCATGTTAGTAATTATCCCCTAAAATCCGTCAAACAATAAAAGCAATAGCCATACGGGTTGAAAAAACTGGAGATTTTGGTGCAGAATAATAATCCAATTATGTCTCTTACATGGAACAACTTCATTCCCAGTAGATCGATATTCGTCTTAATTAAAAAAATGACCTACTTTGACCGATGTACATATAACCACTCTCTTTTTGCATTTTTGTAATTAGATTTATCATGTGCAAATGTTGTTGTCACATAGTTTTTCTGATCACTACAATGATTAATCTTTTAAGCATAAAGAATCTGATTAGCACTCATCCTCTTTATTATTTGATCTGATTTGTTAAAACGTTATTTTTCTCACCCTATATTGTCTGCACACTTGTTTTAAATGGTGATCTTACGATTTCTGTTAAACTATAAACTTATTGAAGTTACTATTACATAATAGTTTTTTAAAATAGTCTATTGAATTGTTTGTTATAGTAGACTTTGTAGAACTCTGGCTTAATGACAATGGTAGTACAGATTTATTCTATAAGGTTCAAACCCCCACTTCATCTAATTAGGTTTAGATAACAGAGTAATGTCACTATAACTTGTGGAGTACATAAACCTATACATGGTAAGTTTTAAAGAAAAAAGATAAAATATGAAATGGCATATTTAAACTATGCAACGACGATAATATTTCCAGGATAAGATGAATTCGTTATAGTTTGTTACTTTCTGTTCTGCCATAAACAAGATGATATTTTTAATTATTCACAATCGTTAACATAATTTTTAGTATGGGGTTGTGGGGATTGTTGAGATATGAACAAAACAATCACTGAGAACCCGGACAACTGTTTGATCCGAGTGTGGGGATCATCAAAAATACCCATCCAGAATCCTACCACTTAAGATCGAATCCAGATCCAGATCGTGAACACTGAGCTGGAATCCAGTTATATGTAAGTCTAACTTCAACCTGTTATATCCACAGTCCTATTGTTTATACTTGAAAACGAGGAACCAGTACAATTCTCACGATGGGAGGTAAAAACACAGAAGACTGGTACAACGAAGATTTATTGGCTCCAAAAACATGACCAATTTAGAGCGAATATACTCATGTACTGATTTTATATACACTTGATGATTGCTTAATAACATCATATAAATGTCAAGATACATAAGTTTAATATAAACACAAACAAAGTTGACAGAGAATTGTATAAATGTTATCCCACCTAAAGTTCATATCTATCATATTGAACAAAGATTTACACTTAATTAATACGAAACATGTTGACTTGAAATAATATCACATAGAAAATATAAATCTAATATTGTACTGACTAAAATGTGATCAGTCAATCAGCTACAACGTGGGACCAGGCACATATGCATCGGTCCAGATTACCACACCCCATTAGTACAATAAGATGAACACCAAATTCATGGAAGTAGCTACATCAATGGTAGTAATATATAAAACGAAAATTGTGCATAAGGATATAGTACAAGAAGAAAGAAAGATGTCAAGCAATTTTAATCTCATAATTTAAGGAAAGACAAAGAGTGTAAACACTAACGTTATTGTGATCGATTCTGAATCATGTCAACCAGAGTCTCCAACCATTGGTTACGATAGTCAGAATAACATCTTGGTGTTATTCTGAGGATAAAACCAGTGTCAACTGTCACTGGAAACGAACTAATATTACACTGAATAAAATGTTACCTTGAGAATAAGATAATGTCACAGAAATAAAAACTAATGTCAGAAATTTCATACACATAGTTTCCTTTGTTATCTTAAAGAGAGCAAGAACGAAGATTGGTGCAGAATACTATGAATTCACTTTATTTCGTCAGGTTCTCATCAGCTACTTACAACCCGGAATATTTGAAAATCAACGTTACTATTGTTATTGACATACTTATACATACGAGGGTGATTAAAGATGAATATATGTATCATGATGTAACGAAGATTACGATAGAGTTTATAAGGTCATAAAAATCTTTGTTTCGGATAAATAAAGTTTGGGAGGGAAAGTTCCAGAACATTGAAATAGTGATTAGAACTCATGAAGTCAACAAACATTAGATAATTGTGTAACAAAGCAACTAAAAGTAGATTAATGGTAATAAAGATATGAATTGAAATCAGTCATGAATTAAAGGAAAATGACGATGATGTAATTTAAACTTAAGAGTTGAAATAAGGAATGGCGCAGTAAACAAAAAGTGGGGTTTAATGTTACCAGGACAAAGAAAGATTTATCGCTTTCTCTTTTTGGATAAATAGATCTCGATTAAGATGTTTGATTGCTATCACTTCGGCAAATTTCAAAAGGCTGAAGTTTGATTAGTGGTTAATCACTTTGAATATTTGGATGGGCTTCGTTGAAACGTTTTAGCAGATTTGTTGCACGTAACATGCATGACCTTATTAATTCTACTGAAATCTTCGTTACATTATGATACATATATTCATCTTTAATCACCCTCGTATGTATAAGTATGTCAATATCTGTAATAAGGTTGGTTTTGAAATATTTTAGGTTGTAAGTAGCTGATGAGAACCAAACAAAATAAAATGAATTCATAGTATTTTACACCAATCTTCGTTCTTGCTTTCTTTAATGTCAGAAATGTTACACTAAGTTAGAAAAAAGATATGGACTTACCTACTTATCCCAACATCACAATCGATATCGGGTGGACATATTGTATTGTCTTCGGAAGGTACCCACCTTTGTCTAGAGGTTAGAAATTCACGAAACCAGAAGTCTCGAATTCAATCCCAGGTTTTGGAAACGTGGTTGTGGATTTTTAAGTCTTCCATACTAGGATGAAAAGGCCACCCAATTTTTCTTAGTTTACAGTAGGTGTCTAACTTAGGTGATTTAAAAAATAACACTCAACAATCTTCACAAACTCACCGGACTAATAGTGATAAATCGGTCGAATTACTAATTATTAGGACTGTTAATGTCTTCATGTAGAGTGGTGTTGTTTTGGTCACTGTAAATTTACTAATGATAGACAGAAAAGAGACCTTC